GATTGAGAGATGGGACAAAAATTACATTCGTTTAACTGACCGATTCTGAGTAATATCTTAATTATAGACTATTGCTTCAACTGAATATTAATATCATTTAGCCAAAGGCGCAATATATAACTTATTCTTATTTTTTTTTGCATTATGTAATCTGCATACATGATCGCCTGGTGAAATTGTGGAATGTATCACCTGCCGGATAAAAAAATGTGATCTGCCTATTCTGGGTTAGACCCTCTAATATATAACTATTTTAATGAAGTATTTCGGGAAGATCAATGAAGCGATCTTGGGGATTCTTGATTCCTAAAATCTACTATAATTATGGCTTTGAAAATTTCTATGCAACAGTTATCCAGCGAGCTTACAGGAATTACAAGAAGAGACCTGAATCTTCGGCAAAACAAGTTTGGGAGGCGGTGAGGAATGATGGTACTCCTGATAGAAAGAAATTCTTGGGTATACTTAGAAAAGGACAGATGAAAATAAATCCTATGACGCAAGAAGAGTATGCTATAGCTTGCAATGAGTTTTATGCTTTATTTAGAAAAAGTTACTCAAAATATATTGGGATAATTAATCCAGTCAAATCAACCCCACCATATGAGGAGTATATTTATTGTTCTTCTAGTAGATGGATAGAAGTTAAGAAATATCAGTTAAGACGACGATTGGATAGAGTAGTATACGGGGCTGTTGATTTCTACAAAGGTTTATATTTGAATTGCTATCTACTATTGACTATTATGAAAAGTACTTAAAAAATCGATAATATCTTTTTACTACCCAATTTAGGATTACTCTATTTTTTACTTTCAATCTGCCACAATGCATGTTGGCGTGTATGACATAAATTAACACGTTTTTCGATCCTCGTTAGTGTATATGATGTAATAGGTGATACTCTGCAAATCATCTGTGAAACTATGCTTGTGCAATGAAATAATTTCACACATAAACCGATCCCAAAGTATTTCAAATTTTTTCCCTTACATTTAGCAGAATAGCATTTAGCAGAATATCATGTATATTTGCTTCGGAGGGACGGCTATTTCTATTATATTCCGAGTAGAATAATATTTATATAACGTTGCCGGGTCTTAATATTAGGCGGTCGGGCGAAAAAAAGTTCGTATATGCATTATTCCCAATGCCCTTTGAAAATGTTTAGATCTTCAATGCACATTCCACATGCCCTTATTCTCGAACACAAAATTTTGGCGTAAAGTGCCTTGCATATTTCTCCTATCTCTTCCCAAACACAGAACTCGAGCTCAAAGAAATGAGAATGTGGGAATGCGAGACATTTAAAAAGGCAGTATGACGAAAAGGTATGGAAATTTACTATACATTATTTTTTACTTCGCCTAGTAAGCTTTTCACTAACATTTAACTTATACTATATTAAAACATGGAAGAATTCCTTTTAACAAGAGAACCCCTCGGTATCATCAGAATTTCCACGGCATTATTTGTATGAGTAGAGGAAGGTGAATGGACGGGCGTTCTCGAAAAGGAGGTAGAGAACTTCGAAAATGTTCTGAAGAGAGTTTTAGAACAAGTCCCCTTGGAGGACGTTGAACGAAAAAAGAAACTTCAAAGTTTTGGTACTGGGAAAAAACTGGTGAAACGGGTAATGTGATAAACTATTTTCATGATGAATATATGGATATGATGACATGTTTTTTTTAGGTTTTCTAGTATGGTACATTCACTAGCGAAGGGCTGATGTCCGTTGTAATATTATTACTTCCCGCACAGTAGTACCTAGTTTTTACCATATATTAGCATATATTAGCATATGGCTACATATCAAACATTTTGCCGGCATTTGAGACTTTATGAAAGTGGAAACCTAATCTGATCCCGCGATGTAAAATTAAATTATTTGTCAACCGAGTCTTGGAAACTAATCTTAAATATATTTTAGGTCGCAACTGCATTCGAAGATCTATGTTCACTCTCAGAAATGGAAGCGCTAGTAATCGATACCGAAGCCTGGTATGAAGATGCAAATACAAATTTACGATCTTTAAAGCGTGATGTTGGACAGTGCATAACTGAGAGTACTAGTTATGAGAAAACCATGTGGGAGATAATAGAAACGGAACTTGAGGAAATAAATGTGGAGAATCTTGGATTCGATCATCCGATTTGTTCAGGTGTTCTAGATATCAAGTCAGAACCCTTTACAAATATGCTTGGGTCGGTTTCTGATATTTTTAAGGAACCATTTTGAAGATATAAGTTAGAACAGAATCATGATGTAATGGAAGCCTGTAAAGAATTTATCCGGAATGAAGAATCGAAAATTAATATGGATGAGGTTTTGGGTAATATTAATTATGGAGAATGGTTGGATAAATCTGAAGAATTACAAGATTTAACAAAACGGATGTTAGAATCAATGTAAGTCAGGGACTGCATATCTTGCAAAATTGCCAAGAAAATTTTTTACTTTACTCATTAACTAATAAATAATTATAGGCTCAAAGTTTGGAAATCGCCAAAATACGAAGCATATATAAAGAAGGGAAAATCGATAAATGAAGGATCATATGTTTGTGAAGTGCTCGCGCCATTGATCAATATAGTGATGAGCGATTTACCAGGAAAACCAATAGTATGGGATATATGGTAAGCTTAGCTCGAAAAGTTACATCACTATCTATACATCACTATCTATCCTTCGCTATAATTAATATGTTTTTAAAAAATAAGGGGCGAAGAAGGAAGTTCAGCTAGTGCCATACGAAAAGGTTCTCGTAAAATTGCCCGAAGAGCTGATTATATGATGGTAGCCCGGTTAGGAAAAAAAGCTGAACTCGAAATTGTGTATCTTGAGACCGGTAGACCCAATTCCAGTCAGGATAAGCGGGTTCGTGATCACAAAAAATTAATACGGTTTTCCAAGGATTCTATGGACATTACGAGGAACATAAAAAACCTTAAAAAGATATTTAACCAAGCATCAAAGAGGCAGAATCTGACCATATTTACTATTAACATCGCAGGTACATATAAATTACTTCTATTTTTTTATATATTCATAATCATTCATATTCCACTCTATCCATTTCTAGGCGATGTTATAGAACTGTATGCTATGCGAAAAGAATCGGGAATTTACAAGTACTGTTTAATAGAGGAGGCAACAATTCCGTTGCATATGACTTCACCGAGTGCCGTATATCCGCTTATCCATACTTTATTGACATTGAGAACGGTTGTAGCATGTACACTTCACAAAATATTATATAGTCCTGACTCTGGGGATAGTGAGCATAGTTCTAGTGAAATGGTAGTAACAGTTTCGACCCCAAAAAATTTATAGAATAGAAATTCGATATATGTATTTTTATTAAGTTATATTAATAAAGCGAGTACACTAGATAATAAAATTTTCTTGGCAAATTTCAACGATGACCCGTCGCTCAAAAAACATGTGATATATTTTTTACTTTTGAATATTAACATACTAATACTACATTACGCTAGCATGCAATCCAAAATAGATGAGACCGATTCATTGAAAATATGCATTGCCAGGCTTGAGGTCAAAAATGCCGAACTTAGAAAGAAGTTTGCTGAGATTGAAGCCAGGAATGCTGAACTTAAGGCCAGAATTGCGAAATTGGAAGATAAGCAATTGCAAAACGAAATGGTTAAAAACTTATTATCTATATCACGAAAGACGTGATCATGTATTCTTGGCAAATTTCAGCCGGGGCACCCCTGCCAAAATCACGTGAATTTTTTGCCAATCGTAATGCGGAGATTTCTAGCAGATCCCTATGTGACGCAATCCGTGATATTGGGCGCGTAAATTTCTCAGAATTCTTTGAATTCCCTGAATGCGTAGAATTCTTAAATTCTCGGAATTTTTTTATTATTTATAAGAAATGACTGGCATACTAACACCATCTTTCCACATATATTATTCGAAGCAACTTAACCAGCTTCCTCGATCCATCAAAATAGATATATGGCGACGCCTTACATCTCGAAAATATCCGTTATCACTGGAACAGGCAAGTAGTATTCACCCCGAAGTGGAAGATTTGTTAAATAAAGCAGTTGGAAATTATATTAAGAAAAAGGAGCATCAGAAGATGAAGGGGACTGAGCCTATTACTAGCGACTGTGAAACTTCGTTAAGGCAAGAAAATGAGGAATTGTGTATATCAAAGCAGGTATTGGAAAAAAAGATTGAAGAGCTTCTTGATTTGCAAGAGCAGTATAAGTCTCGCGAGGTAGCCATGACCAGGTCTTTGGAGGAGAGTGGTGGGAAAGTCACCCAATTATCAGATTCGGTAGCTTTTTTCAAGAGTATAATTCCTGATACGAGAAAAGCCATTGCATCTGCTGAAAAGTCCATTGACCTATTAGAGAATAGATGCCGGAATCTGAAGGATATTATTTCTGTTAAAGATAGAAAAATTATCGCTCTTGTTGATCAGATCCTTTCCAAAACGAAGCATAATGATGTGACTATAGAATCGGAAATATATTCTAGCACTCATGAAAGGAAATTATGGGCAAAGAGGCGTAGTGAATCTGAACATGATTTAGAAACCAGGAAAAAATATACATTTCGTCCTTAGTACCTAAGAAAATTCTATTCATTAGTGAGAATTTGGTCCCAACCAAGACGTACCCGGTGTGGATGTTCGCGAGGTACAGTTAGGTCGAAAACAATGAATTTATGTTCACACAATGCCTTATCAATAATCTTAATCACACTACGCCAGTCATTAGCATATTGACGCACAATTCTGCTCAGCTCGTCCATAGTGCACGACCCATTGAATAGGCAGACGTGT